TTTAACTTTGATCAAAATTTACTAAAAAATTGATTTTAATATCCACCAAATAAGGTCAGAATCACAATAAATTTGAATTTCGATAATATGCTAATTTTAAAAATTCTCTGACGATTGTACGCTAATCGAATCTATAAATTGCTTATGTCATCTCAAAACTTATTTTGAGAACTACATTATTGTCATATCGAATAGTCCAAACAGATATCGCAAATAGTTAAAAATACGTTAAACGTGAGTCATAAAAAAGACGCATAACTCGCATTTTTTTTTAAAATTCAATTATTTTATTAACGTTTATTATTTTTGCGATACAAATTTTTCAATGTAATTTTCATCATTTTATTAGGAAATTTTATATGAAATATGACATCAAAAAATTTCGAAATTTTACATCCGAAAAAGTCATATTCCATTTAAATTTTTGGATGTAAAATTACATGAGGTGTGATTTTTTTGGACGTAAATTTTCGATTGTAAAATTTCTCCCAACTTTTTTGCAAGTTCAATTGTGCCCCCCAACTTTTAAGGTCTGCGTCCGCCACTGGACACGGTCCAATCTCGAAGCTTAGTCTCTTTGGAAAACCAGAAGTTTTTATACATGGACAGGCTGCTAACAAGTTTGTCCTCACTAGTAATGACAGTATAATAAATAACCATCAGACTCAGTCAATTAAAATGATTTTGGGTGATAGGTGTTTGTCTGAACTCAGTGGTGAAGATCATAAGCGAGTACCGAGTGCTCTTGCTTCTTTCCTGAAGCCGGAATGTTTTAAGCTGTATATTGGAGAAATGGAAGAAGAGGTCAGGAGGCACCTTGAGATGCATTGGAATGGGAAGAAGAACATTAGTACATCACGGTGTGTAGTATTTTATAATTTTGAACTACTTATCCTATAACGTCATATTCTGTTTTATGCTTATTCTGCAGACACTGTATTAAGTATTTCCTCGTAAGCTTAGCCAAACTTGTTATAGGATTATAAGATTAAACTTACTGAAAACGGATCCTTAACGTGAACCTCAAGCAAGATACTTTACTCCCTTATTCTTTGGGACTTTTTGGTTCTTGCTTGTAACTCATTCGATTTCATCCAAGGTCACGAACATATCAGCTCAAATATGTCTGAGCCTTGAATATGTTTGCATATAATGTTGTTACCTTCATTTCCTAGGTCTTACATTCAACATAATATGCACTCTTCTTTTGGTGTTGAACGAGGAGCGCGGAGAGTTAAACTGGTCCAGTATTTTCAAGAGATACTTGAAGGAGTGTGGTCAATCCCAGTTAATTTTCCTTTCACACGCTTCAACCGTGGCCTCAAGGCCAGTGCAAGGTCCAGAATATATTGAAAGACCTTCTACGTGAGAAACGTGTTGAACTGGAAAGTGCAGCTTCATCTCATCGAGACCTCATTACCAGCTTACTCAACATTCGTGGAGAAGACAACAGATAATTGGTGTCCGAAGACGAGATTGTACACAATATCATGCTCGTTATGGTTGCAGGGCATGACACCTCAGCAGTCCTGATTTCTTTTATCATCCGACTTTTAGCAAATGATCCAGCCATATATGCAGCTGTTCTGAAACGTATAATTCCCCATTCTGTTTACAGTATTGAACTCTCAATGTTTTCGTGGAAAATGATGAACATGACGACTACTTGAATACCAGGGTGCTGATACAGGAAGCATTTTTTCCCGCTGATTTGAAATTTAATTGAATTTCGACCATTTGTTGTCCGGGATTTACAGAACACGAAGAGATCAAAAAGAACAAGCCCTCTGGAGAGTTCTTGACATGGGAAGATCTTGCCAAGATGAAGTACACTGGGAGAGTGGCAATGGAGACTCTGAGAATGATTCCTCCAGTTTTTGGAGGGTTCAGAAAGACATTAAAAGACATCGAGTATGAAGCACCTCTTTCCAAAAGGATGGCAAGTAAGAGAAACTCTTTAGACCCTGCTACTAATTTATTTACACTAGTACCTAACATAACACAGTTTTTCTTCCGATCATCAAAGGAGAAGGGTTGAAGCAGGTTAATGGCCATTGTAAAGTTTTGTCAAATCTCATGACATGAATAGCATGTTTGGGAGTTGTTATAAATGATTTAAATTATAAACAAATATAAATGAGGTATGGATAAGTGGATAGTATTTGTAGATCCTACAAAATATATGGTTAACAAGTAGTTTTGCAATGGCCTAATGCACTCCTCAGGTTGTTGGGACAATGTTTTGTGTAAATGTAAATAGGCTCCCATTCACTAGAGTACTGATATCATGTCATAAACCACGTTAGAAGAGGAATGGGTAGACCAAAACCAACATATTTCCTGCAAACATTTTCTATATGATAATCAACGGGTTTAAACTTAAAAACCTTCTTATTGGCAACTAGGTGTTTTGGGTTACCGATATGACTCACATGGACGAGAACATATTTCAAGAACCCTCGAAATTCAACCCTTCTCGATTTGAAAATCAGGCACCCATACCACCTTACTGCTATATTCCATTTGGAGGGGTTGTCCAGGATATGAGTTCGTAAGAATTGAAACTCTGGTCACTGTTCATTATCTGGTTACTCAATTTACTTGGAAACTATGCTGCAATGACAACTCCATTAGAAGGGATCCAATACCAGTACCTGCTCAAGGACTTCCAATTCAAATATGGCCAAAGTAACCGCTATAAATTGGCTTGGGTTTTTTGAGGAATGTATCGAGAGAATTTGGCTTGGCAATGCTGTTAAAATCACGGTTTGGAGAATCAAGAAACCTACTGTTCATTTAATTGTTCTTGCCTAATGAAAAGATATGGCTTGATCATTATTTCAGATGAATGTATTTAAAATAAGTTAACTTAGTTAAATGTTTATCAAATTACCTGGAAAGAAATCTCATAATCTTTTTCTAATGTGGACATGAACCATCACCAGGTCACCCTCCTAGAAACTATTTCGTCTCTTGTGATGGGCAGCAACTGCCTTAATACAGTGCGTTGTCTTCCTGCAGCTTCAGTTATACTTCTTGGTGCATTTGAGTAACCTTTTCAGCCAAATTCTCAACAGGCTCACTTGCGAGTTTTGGGAAATTAATAAGAGCAACGTTTGGTTAGGAACTTTATATAAACTACGGAAAATGCCACTCCCCCTGTGGACCAATTAATTATAAGGAAAAGTCCACATGTACATAATATATGTACATAATAGTGTCTATAATGTGATGTGGACAAAATCCTGTTGTTAATGTGAAAGTGTGAGATTTAAATTAATGATAAGATCCAGTGCCACGTGTAATTATGGACACAATTATGTATAAATTTATGTACATGTAGCACTTCTCTAATTATAATGTTGTAGGCATGCTCAGCTTGAGTAAGAAATGCATCCCCATAACTGAGGACACGATGGACATTTTGATCAACTGAATCATTGAAATTTCTGAATATACACAAAAGGCCTGATAATGGGCGTCTAGCATTTTGACCAACTGAATCACTGAAACTTTCGGGTTCAGGTTCTAAAGATTCACAGACGCTCAATCTTTTTCCTTCTTGATCTCTGGAAGTCAACTTCAAACCCATGAAGTTCTAATCTTTTTCAAAGAAACTGTTATTCAAAATGCATGATCATTACACAGCCAAACATGCTCCAAGAAATTGCTTCAAATGCCATAACAAGAAATTGAAATCTCATACTACATAAAATTTCTAAGTGTGTTGCATACAATCACGACTGTGTTTTCGCCTCACGAGCCACTTTTTACTTCAATTAGTAACCATCATCAAGCTTCTTTAATGTTACATGTTAACCTATTGGAACATACAAGTTGCATACAGTAACACAGACATGTTTCCTTAGAACATCTCCAATCGTAGTGTAAAATAAATGTAAATGGTGATTTAGAGTCCAAAGTGGTCGGAAACCTTTCCCGTGGAGAGATGCAAATAAAATGTGAATTGCATGTTTCGGCATAAAATGTAAAATTGATGTAAATTTACATCCCTTTTTTTTTTTTTTAACATCCACGAGAGGCAAAAACTGGATTTAGATCCACATGGATGTAAATGAGAGTGCAAAAGTGGTTTTGGAGATACCCATTTACACCCAATTTTACACCACGATTGAAGATGCTCTTAATATACAAGTCGTACACAGAAGAAAATTATATACAAGCTAAAAGTATACGAAGTATTGGGCATGAAGACCCAAAAATGAGGGCAACATAGCCTATCAGCAACCTGCTGGTCTCAAATACTTCGGTGGCAAGGATGGGCACCTTTCGTTCATGTGGGGGTATGGATCCATTGTATTGTATCCAGGTAGTTCCATCCGGTATCTCCCTAGAATTTGACAATAAGGAAGCTTCATTGTGTCCGCGTCATTGCACCACTTAGGCAACCGGCTTGAATTGTTTTCAAAAAACTTGAGTGTGTAAGCATCTTTTATCTGCAGTTGTTAAAAAAATGATTACACCACACGATATTCATAGAATTCTTTGAGAATAATAATTCACATTCAATTACTGAGCATCACCTCTTTCAGTATAAATCTACTTTACCCTCAATATTTTTGATGTTTTCAAAGTACTGCTATGAGCTTTTTCATGTGAAACTAAGATACAAAGCGGGCACACAGGAAACAACAGAAACATTGGTGTAAAATATTTCATCACATTTGACATTGACTTACTGTGAACTCAGTAACTTGAATGGAGCTTGCAAGTGAACCAAAAAGTCCCGCTTCCTTGTACAATTCAAAGACGAAAGCAACACATGATGTTGACTTCCCATCAACGTAAACCCAATTGTCCTGTTCTGGAATTGCCAATAATTCACCAAAAGATGATCCACGCTTCTCAACTTCGACAAGAATTTCAGAAAGACTGAGGTTCTGCAAACACAGAATGTACCATTGTTGAATATCGTGAGCTGGATATACAGTGAAGTCTGCACTGTACGATCAAGCAGATTTATGAATTACCTAACCCTAGGTCCAAGAACTTTTCTCGGAACTTCATGAGTAGCCAACTTGTAAACATATGCACACAACATTAAATGATTCAGGTTTTCTCCTCACCATATCTACACCGAAAGTATACGTAATGTCGGGGGTGGAAGAACCTTATAATGACACATCACATTCATAGAAACCCCTAGAAGGGGTCGCAAAGGTTTTCACTTGACAACTCTAAATCATTTCAACAGAAATTCATGTTTCAGATACAAATGCCAAGGTTTTAGACAATCAAATGGCAAGGTTATTAACAGTATTACGATCTACTTCCTCTCTTACGTTTGATCCACTAAATATGTGCTTCACAAAGGTATGTGTTTGATAAATGAGATGGAAATTAATGTAACCTGAGTTCCAAGGCGCTTGTTCAATGCTTCATTCCACATGTTACCAGCATATGCAGGCTGGAATTGAGTCCAAACCGTCATAACAGAAGCAACCTGTAAAATGGCCATAAGTCAAAAGAAACCGGAAAAAATTTCCAGAAAATGCAGCATTCTGAACAAGAATGGGAGCTGCGGAGAGAACTGGCCTCGACACTAAAGCAAACTATTTAGGACAAGTAAATGCAATACCAAGTGAGCATCCAGGGGAGATGGATAATTTCCATTAATCGTGTCTATCCAGCTAAATATCAAGTTATGATAACCATAAGGTAGTCCCGTCATGCTTCGAGCATACTCCCAGGCAGCAGTTTCGTTGAACTTGGCCCGGAGGTCAGGATGCAAAGGAAGCAATGCAATATGTGGATTGGCGTCATCTTTTGTCAGCTCATAATCCCACCATTCCTCCCACGTCATAATAGCAATAATATCCTCTCCCTATATTACAAATAAGAAATCAAAACGGTTAGACATATATGAGAAAAGAATTAGATGTTATCCCCCACGAGAATAACTTAAATATATGGAACTATAATCGACTACTGTACAAACCAATAGCCTTTTAAGTCCTCACAAATTCAAGATCCCAAACATACATTCAAGTTATCCATCATTATTTGGTTCCAGTTTTAACTACCAATTATTAGCTGTAGAGTTAACCACCTAATCTAAAAGCTTATGCTTTCAGAGAGGGGGCACACGCAGTTATTTGTTAAACTCAGTCTTCACCTTATAGGCATCTCCAATACGACCAGAAAAGAAAACCTCTTTGAGTTGGCACACAATGTTGTTCTCTTCTTTCATTTTGTTTCCCCTTCTCTCTCAGAAAAATTAATGAGCTTTAATTTGGGCAAGGCACCTTGCCAGCCATCCTCTTATGTACATAGGATATGTTTGCCTCTTGAATCACACTTAATAATATACTAACTAAATTGAAACAACATTTGAGAAGGCCATTCATAGAATTTAACAAATGGCAACTTAACAAGATATAACATATTATATTCCACATTCAAAAGTTTCTGAAAAGGCAATGTTCTGGATAAGAGAGGCGTCGTGATCTCTAAGAATTCATTGAATATGTTAAGTGCCATAAGTTGCAACATAGGAGAGCCAGGCATAAACTGAGAAAATTCAACAAATTCAAGAGCATGTTTGGCTAGGCCTAAAAATAGTAAATATTTTTATTTACTTTCCATAAAAGAAATTTTACCGCTTTTTAGGCTTACCCAAACATGCTCCAACAGCAAAAATGCTTGCAAATATTTGGAAGACTTTTAAAGTATTACCTCCTCATTCTCATGTCCTGATTCTCCAACCCATAGCTTTCCTTCAGAGTCCCTTAAGCAAACAGCAGTATGACCAGCATAAGATCCAGTAACCCACTTCTCAAGAGTCTCAAAACCACCCCAACGACCCCGAATTTTAGATAGAACTAGGAAATCTCCAGAATGTATATCGTCAGCACTAATGTTTGTAACCCATGGCTGAGGACGTTCTTCAAAGGTGGCCCCCATGTGCTTTCGAAGAAATGCAACATTTGAGTTCTCGCCCCAATTAGTGTCTGTGAATAAAGGTAATACTTCCCACAATGCTTCAAGAGTTCCTAGCATCCCTGCTTGCATGAGGAAAATTGAAATCCCCTTGTGTTTCACCTGTTGTCAAATAGGGTAATCATGATTAAGTTGTCATGCTTTGAAATTCATACTTATATCTTTGATTAAGATTGTTTAACTCACATATTCATATTCAGCTTTTGATTGCCACTCTTCGAATTCGAGGGTGTGTTCACGGGACAAAAAATAATAATCCCATGTTACACGATAAGGAGTTGCAAACAGATAAAGATCCATGCATGTCCAACTATGAGCATTGCTAACCTGCATGCATAAAAGAATGAAATATAGATGTACAAATATTAACTAAACGTCATCACACCACTTCTTTCACGCCTCATTTCCCCATCTAACTATAGAAATCAAAGAAAGATAACGACAAGATGTGGCACTCTGGTTTTTCTATGACTAGAGAGGGGCAGAAAAAACAATGGTGCAAAATTCTATCAACCTTTCCTGGAGCATATGGAGATTCGTAGCACGAGAACAAGATCAACAACATCAGTATCTTAATAGCTCATATTAACGTACTTTCAATTTAATCCATCTTAAAAAGATGTTTGACAACAAATTTTCCAATAACATGCAGATATAAAAATGGAGCTTTAAAAACTATAGCATCTAATGAAAGCAAGCAGAAGAGGAACTCACTCCTGAAATCAATGTAAT